TTTTTATCATTGTCATCTTCATCTTCATAGATAAAATTTTCGAGATAAAAGTAGTTTTTTATCCGTTACACCCTTTAGTTCACATAGATGGCAGTTCTATTTTCAGATTCATCTTCTCTTTAGATTCTGAATAATTTGCATTTCTACCTTTTTAATCCATTTTTATATCAATAGTTATTATTTTCATAACAAGGGGCTGATTCGACCATAACTGATGGCAATCCAGTCTGAAAAAAACAAATCCGTAACGAAACAGGAATCGTCTAAATGAGAAATGAAAAGATAAAAGCTTAAGATTAAAGTTATTGCTTTCGTTTTGCGCCCGAAGGGCTTGAAATGCTCAAGATTCTTATTGGTAATTCACTCCATTTAGCTTATCAACGCTAAGTTAACGAACACTCAGCTGTACTCAAACCCAAAGCTTATCATACGCTGTAGAATATTCATTATTGATTGAATTAAGTCGAATTTTTCTCCGGTATTCAAGTATTCATCTTAAAGCCCATAATGAATCTAATGATTGGTCAAAGAATCATTACTGTAGGGGTTACGATTCTCGATGTAATGAGGATCAAAGTTTTAATGTCAATGGCCAAAATGAAGAGAACTGTCAATAAAATGAAAAATTGTGCGATCAATCATGTTCAGCAAATATTTTTATCGACGAAAAATGAGTTTCAACTATTACTGCCACTCGAAGCTCCAGGTAATTTCACGAAATAAGCACATTTTCTGGTTGACCATGAGAAGTTATAGCGAAAAAAGGATTTCCTTATCCACTTTTGAAAAAGATCGACCGAAAATTTGTTCATTTGAAATTTTAAGAAAGATTTTTCAAAATCATGGTGAGCAAAGTACAATTTATTCACATTTCACGATTTGCCATTCTATTCATTCTGAAGCCTCTACAATCTAAAAAAGTTATCTACCGCTTCTTAATTTGATATGAAAGTTCAGTTTCTTTAATCACAGAGACAACTTTTTAGATTAGACAATCAGGTCTTCGATCTGCCATCAAGACTCATCAGGCGATATTTAAGAAAGAAACGTTCCATGAAATCAAAGCCTCGGCAAATTTCCTGTCGTTTAGTGTACAACTGAGGCCAATCTGATTTTATTTCATGGTGATTCCCATTGAAGCAAAATTTGGTTGATCTTCCATTTCGTTCAAAATAATTTTGGACATAATTAGCAGCTCTTACAGCGTTTCCACGAACTCCGCGAATATCAAATATAACCAGATTGGGTAAAATGTCAACCAATTGCTTGATATCTTCATCTTCTATGCCACATAGACGCCTCAACGCAAGATGTTCGAGGTTCGGATATTTCATCAGAGCTCTTTTTAGATCGTCCCAGATTTGGCCATAATGTTCCTATAAGTATAAAATCAATTAGTTTATGTGGACAAACAGACGATCCTTCCAGCCTGATAAAACCTAAGATTCATGATTGCAATCTTTAATTGATCGAATAAATTTGTGTATTCCGAATATATTTTTCACATTTCGAATTCAATTAATACTTACGCAATGTATCACTAAATCTTGCAAAGATTCGTGTTTTAATGTTTCATCAACAAGCACGGTACTAGAATCAATGGTAATATGGGCACTTTGTAAATTCGGACATGAATCCATGAACTGGAAACCGTAAAAAGTCGTACCAAGATTGAAACATTTGAGTGCATTACAACTACTTTGAGCTTTTTCAATACTGGACCATTGAGGTAACCGTCTGAGGATGCAAGATGGACTTTTATAAGTGAACATTTCGGAAAAAAATATTTATATAATCACCATTAAGGATAATTTGTAGTCTTTCATGATTTTGTCGATATTGTGCTTCACTTTCCAAATTAAACAAAGTATCATCTCGAATACTTAATTGTTTTGAACAGATGCAATTTTGTAGTATGTCTGGCTTAGAACAATCGGTGGCTAGCATTTCGAGTTTATCACAACATTCTTCCATTGCTAAACGACATGAAGTGATCATTTCTCGCAAATGCTAAAATTATCTGCACATCTATAGACAAAACTTTTTCTTTGGAATCTATCAGTAAACTCAGCAACCTGAGTGGAAAAGATAAATAAGAAAATTAATATTCAATGAAAAATTAACAAAGAGCGTTGATCAACAATATCAACTTACTATTAAATTTGGAAATAATGTGCTCAAACCAGCTACATCAATCAGATCTGTGTCTGTGTAATAAACATAATCAGGTGAATAATTACGTAAACGAGCACGATAATCTGAAAATAAAAATTTCTTCGATTAGTAAATTGATCAACATGTGAATAAACCTTCATGAAAATTTGAATTCTTACCAATCAAATATTTAACTTTTTTAGTGAAAGGTTTGTTACGGAAGTAATCTGATGAGAAGACTGCGAACTTGCTTTCACTACAAGTTTCTAAGGTCGCATCTAGGATCACTAAAGATCTACACCTTAAACTTATCTGCGTTTCAGGATATCTCATAAGAGATGAAAGGCACAATTCATAAATGAAATACTTTGAGGTATCTTTTAAAGACTTTTATTGAATTAAATTGGAACTGAATTTAAGAATAACTTGAGTTGTTTGAAATGATGAATATTTCTTAAGAAATACAATGAACAGAATTACTTTGAAAAGGATATTATTTGAGTAATTAAAGAGTGTGACTTACGGTAAGGAATATTGTAAGTAAGTGAAAAGAATGAATAATTTTGGTTTTTATAACCAATGGTAAAACAAAAGAACAATTTTTTGGAGGGAATGAAGAAAGTAAATTAGTTTCTCTGTCGCAATGATGTCTGGTTTTGGTTCTTTACCAGTGACCAGTTTTTTACCTCTTATCTCAATTAACACTATCAAGCTTGTAGCCTTCAACTCTTACTTACATGTCTTAAGACATATATCTCACGAGAGATAGCTGTAGCTTTATTAGTGCTTTTAGGATTAGATGAAGGTGAAACAAAAGTTGAAAAATTAGCTGAAAAAGAAAGAGATTTTTACCAGTCTTTCTTAATGGCACTTAATTTTCAACCTTAAGTTTTGGTCAATTCTTAACCTGAATTGTGGTTAAAATTACAAGTTTTTAGAGCGACTTAGGAAGGGATTTACTTAGGATTTGGACATCTGAGAAGGGCATTATTTTCATGGTTAACATAGTTTTCAAGAACTGTAATAAATATATTGTTTAAACAATGAATGATTAACTGAATTAAGATGAATTAAATGAAATAAAAAGGGAATGATTCAAGAGATTGAGATGAAAATGGAAATGAATTGAATGAATTTACTAAGGCAGAAATCTACCCTTCACTTCTCTGAATTTGAGACCTTGATCCCTTTGTAAATTCAGATTTATTCAATTTCGATTTGAAGAGTTTGAATCTCTTGAAGAGGACCTTTGTCTAGTTGGGTAAAAGATATGAGAGCGGACTTGAGAGGGATTATTCGGGTTGTAAATGACAGTCCTGGTTGATGATCCTGAAGAGGCAGTCGAAGTGAATGAATATCTTGAGTCTTCTGACATCTGCGAAGTATTTGATTCAGGCTCGTCCTTGCGTCTTAAATGTCTCCATGGGCTTGGCGGAATTGGATATGGAATAACTTTTCCTTGGGCATAGTTTCTTGTAATTATATCGGAGGAAGAGGTTAAATCTGTTGTGGAGGATGAAGTTGAAGATGAAGTTGAGGATGAGCCAGAACCTGAAGTTGTTGAAGTTGAAGTTGAAGTTGTGGTGGTTGATGACTGAGAAACTGGAGATGAGCGAGGAAGAGATGGAGAACTTCGAGGCGAAGGTGATCCTAAAAGATCAGCAATAGCGGAATAGAGGGAAGATGGAGTTGATGCTCGATCAAACTCGATTAGCGGTGGAGGAAAATCTGGTGAAGCTTCAGCTGAATTATGTCTTCTTTTCAGTGAAGATGAAGAAGATGAAATTGTTGATATAGCTTGAGCTATTGATTGTGATGATGCTGGAAGAGTTGACTGTTGAGATAAATTAGGTGAATTTGGAGGAGTATTTGAAGGTGTGTGAGGTGATAGGATTCGGACGGATTCATCATCATCAGATAAATCGATGAGGGGAAAATCTCTTTCAGGCTGAGGTGGTTGAGGTGATGGAGCATAAGCTCGATATTCCGGAGTGATAGAGTCGATGGATGAAGTGGAAGAAGCTGAGGAACTGACTGAGTGAATTGAGTAATTACTATCACTACCATAGTTTGAGTATTGAGACGGAGTGGGAGAGGATGCGGGTTCAACACAAGGAGCTTTAAAGTTCAGATCGCTGTTGCGATTTACATAGGCCCAGTTTGATGGCCATCTTGCTTGATTGTTTCTAACTCGTTCTCGGTAAATTTGAAGAAGTTTTGAAACTTTCTTATTACCACAGGTCCTAACCATGTTTTCATGGTTGATTCCTCCCCATTTGCGTGAAGATTCTTCAATTTCCTGCCAGTGAGCCATATATAAATTCATTGAAGTGATTGCTTCAATTGCAGGCGAATGTGGTTCAGAGCGGAGAGTGAATCCAGGTAAAAGAAGGAATGAGATGAGGGAAAGTGATGCAGGAGATGAAACATAAGGTGAGAAATGTTGTGTGATTTCTCTGAATTTGTGCTGAAGAGCACGTATCTCATCATCATGAAGATCAAGGGATCTCATTGCATTAATCAGTCCTGAACCAACAATTGCAGTTGCAGTCAGGAGGAAAGCAAGAATTTGATCTCGAACTGAGACAAATGATTTCGCTTTAGCAACATCTCGGGGTGTTAAACCATGGAATTGTGTGTCCATGTAATCAATCTTTTCATGGCTAATCAGCGATTCATAGACGATATTCTTATAGCCATCTACAATTACTACCCATATTGGTCTCGGGCGTAAAGCTGGATTTCGTTCATCAGCAGTCCATCCTTTAACTCGGCAATAAGCCATATGAATTGAGAATGTCGTCTCAGGGCTTGGATGGATTTCAATTTGTTTTTGAATTAACTTCTCAGTATTAGCTCGAAGTGGAGGCATTTTGATTGTTGTTAGTCCATGAAACTCTCTTGTGGCTAGATCGACTTTATTCTTTCGATTGGTCAATGCTCTGATATTTGAAGTGCTAGGAAAAATATGTTCCATACGGAATCCTCTGAGGGTAGGAAAATTATGTTTGGCGTACTCGAAGAGTTCTTTTTGTAATTCAGGGGATAATCGAAGGATAGGGTTAATTTTGATAAAAGGAGTGAGACGATCTTCAGTCTCGGGTGCAACATTTTTCATAAATGGAGGATTAGATCTTGGAATTCCACCTCTTGCAACCTTGACCCATTCTTCCGAATCAGTTAATAAATAGAATGGTACTCTTGACCAAGTAATAGTATGAGGGCGAGGTTTGATTACATTGGGATCGATTTTCTTTCCCATGATTGGTTCAAAACCAACAATATGTTGAACAAAACTTTCTTGTTCAGATAATGGATGAGTGGGATCATGGAGTTGCTTTTTAGCATCCCAGAAACCGAGGGAAAAATGAGCGAGGGATCTGATAGCTGCGGGACTTAACAAGGGATCATTTGGGGTTTCATCTTTAAGATGAGAAAGACAAGCCCAAAGGCCCATCTTCTCATACCATTGATTTGCATGAGCTCGATGATTTTCTGGTAAATCAAAATCTCCTTGTTGCAGATGGTCTGGAAGGAAAGTTGATAAACTTTTTGGAACCTTCTTTACTTCTTCCCTAACTTCTGGTGAAATTTTCATTTCTTCAAATGTATAGTTGAAGTAAAGTTTTGCAGCGAAAATTCCTAGTCTGCACTTCTTTTCATGGCTCATGAATTCATCTAAAGTAAGATTAGCAGTACAATGTGTACGTCTGCATTTGAAAAGAGTTTTCATGTAAATCTCAATGGTTTTAGAGTTGGATAGAGGTTGATAAAATGGATAATCATCCTTTTGAGTATGGTATTTAATGCATTTTGGAAGGATACAAAGGAATTGATTAGGATGAGTGAGAGGGAAAAGTTCAAGAATCTCGATGAGATTTCTTAACCAGTGTATGCAAGCTAAACAATAACATTTTCGGCAGCTTTGACATTCTCGTGGTTCAAGAGCATATTGTGCACAAAAAGCACATTGAACTAACTTTTTAATTGAATCAAATTCAGGATTAGTAATGTTGTCGATAACTATTCCGTGAGGGATCAATGGAAGATCCATTGTCTTGATTCTTTCATCATGATAAACATTATCATAAAGTTTAAGTCTCATAATTTTATTAAATTCATGTCGAAGTATTGAGAATGTTTGAGCTTTAGCTTTAACCATTTCTTTTATCTCAAGAAAGGTTTCATCAGTTAAATAATCTGGAAGGGGTGCAGTTGGAAGTGGAGCTGGATATTGATTTGGTGCGAAAGGATAATCTGAGGGTTTTAAATATCTGTTGGGCCAAACTTTTCTAGTTAAATTTATTTTCGGAGGGACAATTGTAGGTTTGAATGGAGTTTTAGAATGAAGATTCGGAAGATGATTAGAGTCAAAGTGAGGGGAATTACTTATCTGTACAAGTTGGTTATTGGAATTGTTTGAGGAATTGGCAGAATCGGATTGGTTTGAATTTGATTTAGTTCCCATCAGTGAATCATGGATTGATTTTCTGACTTCCAAACTTGAAGTTCCAGGAGCAAGTCTTTGAACAACAGCGTCCTTGTCTTCCTTGTTCACCAAATGAATTGGATTCCAACTGAGCTGTTCTTCACGAACATTATCTGGATTGGGTCCTCGTTTTAATTCTTGCAATTTCTTTTGTTGCATTTGTTGAGCTATTTGAATAGCATTAGGGTCATTCACCAACTTTTTCATAGGAATTTTTCCCTTGGAGGAAATAGAAGCAAAGTTTTCGGGATTCCAATTAAATGGAGGTTTCTTGTAAGTCTGGTGAGACAAAGTTTCAGGGAAGACAGTTGAAGGTGATCGAGGCTTTCGATTCAAACGAACAGCATTAGTTTCATCATCAGTTGAGTCTTCACTTAAAACATTAGCAGCAAAGTCATAGTTGTCTTTAGTATATCGCCGATTTGGTGGAGGCGGAGGAGGAAGCATTGGGTCATCAGATGATAACGCGGGTAAAGATGACGAACCTTGAATCACAATTGAGCGATGAACTCGCTGATGAGTGTCCATCGAAGGTTCACTTTCAGTGACTGATGAAGGTGGTTTCGGAACAAAGATTCGAACTGTCGGATCATCACTGTATCGAGCGGGAATCAGATCTTCATCTGGAAATTTGTTCAGTGGAACTGGTGATGGAGAAGGAGATCGAATGCGATCAACACGAATGTGTGGAGTTGGAACTCTCACAGTTTCTCCTGAAGGCAGAATACGTTCAATAATTGTTTTCTTGGCGGGTTGCATGATGATCGAATATATTGCTTGAGCAATGGGAATTAATTGAATTGAACTGAAGGGGTTTGATTTAAAATTGAGGAAAAGTTTGAATTGAATTTGAAGGAACTGATGAAAATAAGAACAAGTGAAAGGTTTGCAGAAGTGAACAATTGGATAATTTGTTGAATAAAGTTGAAACTTTGAAATAGCTGAAA